CAATAGTTTAAGTTTGCCCGTGTACTCCAATATTGGGCACTTTGTATTGTGCCCCAAAACCCAAAAACTTTAAAAATGTAAATCACAATTTTTGATGGTAAATTTGCCTTTAAAAACCTTTAAACTGTAAGGATTTAATTTTTTAAGTTAATCTAAAATTGCTCAAAAAGCCCCTCCCAAAGCTAGGTGTCCTCCCCCCCTGGGCCCCCTGGGAATTAGTATTTTTTTAAAAAATGGGAAAACCCCCAATACCCAAAACCTGTTTAAAAAAACCCCATCGTTAAAAATTTTATTATTTTTCTAATTTTTTTATTTTTAAACAAAAGAAGCGCTAAGCCCCAAGGAAAAGTAACCCTTTAAGGGGAAAAAACTTTAATTGAATTTTAATTGAATTGAATTTTTCAAAAAGTAATTTACCAAACCAAAATTGGGAATCTATTTTCCCTTTTTTTGAAAGCATACAGCTTTGCCAATTTATCAGTTTTTTCAATCATTGGAGATCAATGTGAGATGGAATTCCCCAGCTTGTGCACTCTGACTTTACTGTCCCCAATTTACCATACCCATGTCTGGCTTCTGAACATTTCCCTTGGGGCAAAAATTTTTAAAAATGAGTTGAGTGCTTTTGGGTTTACAAAGGAAACAGTTGCAAATTTAAGTGTTAAACCTTAGTACATGGAGCATTTCAGGGCAAGGAGTATGACAAACAGTTTGAAGGGTGGAGGACCCGTTATTGATGTGTTTCCAATTTTTTTATGAGAGCCTTTATTTGGGAAAAAAAAACAGCACTACAGTGCACCAGTGGGGGTTGGTGTACGGAACCCCTGAACGTAAATAAAAATTTTTAAGTCTTTTAGAAGAATGGGGTTTAGAGAACCCTATCAAGTGCAAAGTCAAAAAGATTGGGGAAGGGCAAAGAAGACTGCAGACAGAGTACAGTCTAGGGGGCCAGAGCTACAAACCTCACTCATGGAAAAGGATCTGATGACACTGGAGGACAAGAGAGATCGGGTGACATGATAACGACATATAAAATACTGAGAGGAATCGACAAGGTGGACAGAGACAGGATGTTCCAGAGATGGACACAGCAACAAGGGGTCACAGTTGGAAGTTGAAGACTCAGATGAATCACAGGGATGTTAGGAAGTAATTAAGTCACAGAATTGTCAGGAAGTGGAATAGTCTGGGAAGTCATGTAAAGGAGGCAGGATCCATTCATAGCTTTTAGAAGAGGTATGATAAAAAAGCGAGTTCTGCACTGAGGAGTCTGTAGAGATAAAGAATGTTATCCATAGAAGCAAGGAATTAATGTTTGAGAGTATAGTGGTATCAACACTCCTATATGGGTATTACACATGGGTGGTGAAAGTTGTAACGAGATGGCTGGAGGCAGTGGAAGTGTCGTGTCTGAGGGCAATGTGTGGTGTGGAAAATACTGTATATATTTTCCTGAAATACAGTAGTTATATGTAAATAGATGGCCATACTGTATTTAATAAAATTTATGTTATCGAAAACGGGAAGCTGCGCATGCGCAGAAGGACACTCGCCATTTTTGTTTTTGAATTGAGTAACAGACATTAGTAATGGGAAGAATTTTTCGTGCTCTAGAGGTTAAATTTGGGCTGACACCTCTCAAATAGGTGAAATTGTTGGATGTGCATTCCTGCATAACTTGAGTATCAGGCGACAGGACAGGACAACTCCAGGAATCTCAGATAAGCTGTCTAATTTATGTTTAAATTCTGGCCAGTGAATTTTTCATAAATGTAGGCAAAAGGGGGGGGGGGTCCTGTACATGACACATTAATCTCCAGTCAAATTAGTGAGTGATTTTAAGATATTCTCCTTCTGTTATGTAAATGTGTATACGTATTTATAATTCTTTATTAATTTAATATACAGTCCACAAATTTATATATTTACCAGCATTCCTGGTGATGTATTTTTCATTTGTAATTAATAGGTCCAGAGCAACTTGTGGATATGACAGTGGTAGGTATCGAAGGGGGACATTTTTTGCGACCTAGGTGTCCCAGATTCCTACTTGTCTAACTGATAAATAATAATTATCTTTGTTCATTTACTGTTATGTACATAATGATACATTCGGAAAAATGCAATTTTCCACATTTAATTTGCCCGTTGGTCCTTCTTGAACCGGAGGTAATTAGTGAAGTCATTAATTAGTTAATTACTTAACAATTATATGTGAAATGACAGAAGGAGGTGGATGTTAAGTTCACAAATTTACTTAATGTGTAGTGGATTATAATTATTACAATATTAATTTGATAGACAATTCTGGCCAAGATTTATATCAGTGTATGTATAATTGATAAGACAAGTGTGGCTAAAGATTATATTGTGTATAATATTAATTTTGCTATGCCAAATTCTGGCAAGGATTTATGTTAATTTTTATAATATTAATTTTGATAAGCCGAGTCTGGCTAAAGGTTTGTATTAATGTACATTTGAAGTTTATATTATTTTCTTACATGTAATTGCAGAGCTCAAGTAGCTAGGATTTATTCAAAGGTAAGTTGTACTATTTACCTTCATAAAGTGCATAATTTAGTACATAATCAGTGTTATTAATTAAGTTGAATTTAATACATTGCATCATGGCTGAAAATGAGGAAATTAATGTAGAAGACAAACATATGGAATATAGAGCAAAAAAAAAAACAACATCACTGCAAGCTAGAAAAGGGCATGTAACAAAAGCATACAATAAATGTTTGGAATTAATGAATCAAGAAACTGTGAATGCTGATGATTTAAAATTGTATTTAGATGCTTTAGGGAATAGATATGATTCATACAAATTATATTACAACAAATATGAAGGAGATTTGTTAGTAAACTGTGTAGATGAGACTGAAGTAGATCTCATGATTAATCAGTATTATGAATTAGAAGAAAAGATTCTTTCTTGTAAAAGTCAGGCTTTGAATAAATTAAAATGTGTAAACCAGGCAGTTAATCAGTCTGCTCCAACAAATAAGATGTCTTTGTCAAAACTCCCAGAATTATATTTACCTGTATTTAATCCTGGAGAAAACTAGGAGGAGTTCTAGTCAATTTTTAAAGCAGCTGTGCATGACAGGAGTGACCTAGCCTGTGTAACTAAATTATTTTACCTCAAAGGACAGGTAAGAGGAGATGCTCACATACTCATACAAGCCTTTCCCATTGTAAATGACTCTTACAAGGAAGCAGTTGACTTGTTGAAGGTCACTTATGGTAATACAGAACAAAGTAGGTTGGATCTAGTGAATATCATTGTTAATTTAAAATCTCCAGATCACACTTACAAAGGATTACAGCAGTTTAGAATTAAACTGGAGAGCACTCTCAAAACTTTAAGTAATAAATATAATCTGAAGGAATCAGACTGGTTATTGAGTGCCATGGTACAGAATAAATTAAGCTGTAAAACACTTGAATGGGTCTCGAACAAATATCACAAGGGTTATTTTCGTCTGGAGGAAATAAGACTAGCTCTACAAGAATTAATTGTTCAGTTGCAGACCAGCCAACTAACTCATTTTAAAGATGCAACACATAATAATTCTGAGGTATCTGTCAAGTTTCATAAAGGGAAAAATTATACCAATAGTAATAATCAAAATTCATTTCCTAAAAATAGTTGCATAGGTGCATATCAAGTAGCAGGAATCAGAAATAATGATTCTCCACAAGGTAAGAAGAATAAGAAACCAGTCAAAGAAAAGAGAGATTGTCTTTTCTGCAAGGGTACTCATTTTTCTAAGAATTGCAATGCATACAATTCATGGAATGATAAAGTTGAAAGATTGGAGGAACTTGCCAGATGTATCAGGTGTTTAGGTAATCACAATGTAAAGGATTGTCATGCCAAATTAAACAACTGTTATCAATGTCACAAAGGAAGACACCATATAGTCATGTGTAAAGGTCTATATGATAATGTTGATAATAATAATAATAATGTTGACAATCCTGACACAACAGTAGCTAATGTGGAAATTGCTGCTAATGTTAATAATGATGGTTTTGCTGAAGTAGCCTTACCTGTGTTACAGGTAAAAATTTGTGATAAAAGGCATAAATCAAAAAATGTAAATGCATTATTGGACCAAGGATCCAAGCGTACTTTCATAAAACATAAATGTCTTGATGATATGAAAGTACAGATGGGAGATCCCACAACTTTAAAATTATCTGGTTTTCTCTCGGATAAAAGGTCTCAATTGTATGACACTGTTTATGTAACTGTCACGTTGGGCAATGAGAAAAAATGTGTTAATGCAGTAATTGTAGATAGACTTCCAGAGAAAATATCTATACAGTAGGGCTTAGTAAAGCTACAGACTCTCACATAATGTAAATTTAGCACCTTCTGGTGTAAGTGATGATTCTGTAGGCCCAATAAATATTTTGATAGGTAGTGACTATTATGCCTCCTTTATAATGGGTATGGTAAAGAAATGTGGTGTCACGCTTTTGAAGACTGCAGGAGGCCATGTAATGTATGGTAGGATTCCTCGTAATAATAATTCATGACTAGAGGAAACTACAAATACCATAACTGTGTGTCTTACTCATGAAGTCGTGCCCCAGTATAATTCTTCCATAGAGGATGGTGTTGAGCCAGTGCATAAATTGTGGGAATTAGACAGCATTGGAATCAATGTAAATGAAGAAAGTCCAGATGATTCTTTTACTCAAGAACAATACCTGAGAGATATAAAATTCGAATCTGGACAATACTGGGTGCAACTTCCGTGGAGACTGAACCATCCAGAATTGCCCACTAATTACAGAATGGTATATGGACAGTTAAAGGCTCAGCTCTGCGAACTGAGTAAGACACCAGAATTGTTAACTGCCTATAATGATATAATTGCTGAGCAGTTAATTAATAAATTTATAGAAGAGGTACCTCCTGAGAAAGCCAAAATTTATGGTCACTATTTGCCACATCACGGAGTGAAGAAAAATTCCAAGACCACTCCTTTGAGGATTGTGTTTAATTGTAGTGCCAGGAGTAACAAAAATGTACCTAGTTTAAATGACTGTTTGATGACAGGTCCGTCGTTGACGGAAAAATTAGGAGATATCTTATTAAATTTCAGAGTGAAGCATTATGCCTTTACGGCTGACATAAGTAAAGCTTTCCTAAGAGTGGGTTTACAAGAGGCTGACCAGGAGTGTACCCGCTTATGGCCTGAGAATCCTATTGACCCACTTAGCCCTCTGAAAACCTTTCGCTTTAGGAGAGTATTATTTGGTGCAACATCCAGTCTGTTCCTACTTCAAGCGACAATAAATGCACACCTTAAACGTATGGGAAGTCCATTGAGTAAAGTAATGAGCAAACAATTTTATGTGGACAATTTCCTGGGTGTGACGTCAACTGAAGAGGAACTGTTAATGACTTATGGAGAGGCTAATAAAATAATGCAAAGTGCAAATATGCCTTTGAGAGAATGGAATAGTAATTCGTCCAAATTAAAGGACAAAATAAATACAGATTACCCTGGAGATGAAGTGCCAAAATGTAGTAATGTATTGGAATTAACTTGGGATACTGAGAGAGATTTGTTAATGTTAAAACCTAATAATTACAGTATGCTCAATAAATTAACTAAGAGAGTTTTGCCTGCTGAAGTTTCCAAATGTTTTGATCCACTAGGTTTAGTGTCACCCCTTACTATAAGAGGAAAATTATTAATACAAGAAGCATGGAAACTTAAATGTGCTTGGGATGAAATTCTACCTGAGGAATTCATTAACAGGTGGGATGAATTAATTGGTGATTATGAAAATATTCCAATGTTGGAGTTCCCACGCCAGGTGGCCAATCCAAATGGGAAAAATGTAGTCCACATTTTTTGTGATGCTTCAAAATTGGCATATGGAGCAGTTGCTTATCTTCAATGTAATAGTGTTATTTCTCTTGTTATGTCTAAAAGGGTAAAGTGTCTCCAATTAAATCACGTACCTTACCTCAGTTGGAATTAACAGCCATTTATGTAGGTGTCAAATTAGCTAGTTATATAAGAAATAAGTTGCAGGAGATAAATATTAGCGACACTGTAATTTGGTGTGATAATGAGGTATCCTTACAATGGATTCATAATGGAAACAGTAAAATTGTGTACGTGCAAAACAGAGTCGCTGAAATTAATCAGATGCAAGAGAAGTATAATAGTTTGGGTCAACATATGTTAACATTTAATCATATACCTGGTGAGGAGAATCCAGCTGATTTCTTGTCTCAAGGTTTATCTTATGCTAAATTTGTAAATGCTGTATCATGGTTTAAAGGACCGAGCTGGTTGGTAAATAAAGCTAATTGGCCTGTACAAAAGGTGTATATTGCTCCTGTTGAAATTACTGTGACCACCACTCCAATAGTTTGTCCTTCCTTAGCCATTGATATAAATAGGTATTCTTCTTTACCCAAACAAATCAATGTAACTAAGTTGGTGTTTAAATTTCTAAACAAGATGAATATTTCATTTAAGTTTTCACATCCTCTTGAATATTGGATAAAGAGGGTACAGGAGGAAATCTATGGAATGAGATTAAATTGATGATGGAAAGAAAAATTGTGAAAGGTTCCATAATAGAGAAATTGGGGCTGTATTTAGAGAACAATGTAATTAGGTGCAGAGGTAGGTTACAAAATGCTGAATTGGGTGAGTATGCTAAACACCCTATCTTACTGCCCAAAACTCATCATCTAACAAATTTAATTGTTCTAAATGCCAATAAAAATGTAATGCATGGTGGGGTACAAGATACCTTAAATTGTATAAGGGAAACTTTCTGGATTCCACAAGGACGGCAAAGTGTAAAAAGGGTGATTAAATCTTGTGTAATATGTTGCCGTGTGGATGCCAGATCTTATATGTACCCAGGTCCTCCACCATTGCCAAATGAGCAATTTGAATAGTTTAGCAACGAACTCCGCCCGGCCGCAGTGTGGAAAATACTGTATATATTTTCCAGACATACAGTAGTTATATGTAAATAGATGGCCATACTGTATTTAATAAAATTTATGTTATCGAAAACGGGAAGCTGCGCATGCGCAGAAGGACACTTGCCATTTTTGTTTTTGAACTGAGTAACAGACATTAGTAATGGGAAGAATTTTTCGTGCTCTAGAGGTTAAATTTGGGCTGACACCTCTCAAATAGGAGGCGAAATTGTTGGATGTGCATTCCTGCATAACTTGAGTATCAGGCGACAGGAGAGGACAACTCCAGGAATCTCAGATAAGCTGTCTAATTTATGTTTAAAATCTGGCCAGTAAATTTTTCATAAATGTAGGCAAAAGGGGAGGGGGGTCCTGTACATGACACATTAATCTCCAGTCAAATTGGTGAGTGATTTTAAGATGTTCTCCTTCTGTTATGTAAATGTGTATATATATAATTCTTTATTAATTTAATATACAGTCCACAAATTTATATGTTTACCAGCATTCCTGGTGATGTATTTTTCATTTGTAATTAATAGGTCCAGAGCAACTTGTGGATATGACAGTGATAGGTATCGAAGGGGGACATTTTTTGCGACCTAGGTGTCCCAAATTCCTACTTGTCTAACTGATAAATAATAATTATCTTTGTTCATTTACTGTTATGTACATAATGATACATTCAGAAAAATGCAATTTTTCACATGTGGTATGAATATTATGCAGAGAATCCACAATTTGGAGATTAGAAGGAGTGGGGTTACTAAAATATTATGCATATAGCTGAAGAGGGGTTGTTGAGGTGGTTTGTAAATTTAGAGAATGAAACAGAATAGAATGACTTGGAGGGCATATAAATATGTACTGAAAGGAGGGATAAGGGTTTTCCTAGGAAAGGTTGGAAGGAGGGTTTTAAGGTTTTGTATGAAAGGGTTTTGGACTTATAGTATGCATGAAAGTGAAAGGAAAAGGGTTTTTATGACTTGATGTGCTGTTTGAGTGAGAAAAGTAACATTTATGAAGAAATTCAGGGAAACCAATTAGCCCAACTTGAGTCTTGGAGGTGGGAGGTACAGTATCTGCACTTTGAAAGAGAGGTAGAATTGTGTTGAAGTGTTTAAAGTTTAGTACTGGCATGCCTCTAGCAAGACAGTGATGGAGTGAGTAATGAAGAAAGTGTTTCTTCCTTTTCAGGTCATCTTCCCACTGCAAGAAACAGTCACTGTGTTAAAAGAAAATATTATTTTAATGAGAAGGAAACACTAAACTCACTAGGATAATGATATCTTTATTTCTAAATGTATAAAGTATACAGGCCTAGCCGACATCAGCAACATACTAGCATACAGAAAGCCACGTGTTATGCAGAGCATTTCAGGCAAATTAGGTCACTTTTGTACCGGGATGCGACCCACATCAGTCGACTAACACCCAGGTACCAATTTTTATTGATAGGAGAACAGGGACAACAGGTCTAAGGAAACACACCCAATGTTTCCACCCTTTGCCAAGAATCGAACCTGGACCCTCACTGTGTGAAGCAAGAGCTTTTGCCACCAGGCCACAGGCCACCAGAGAAATGGGAGGCAATCAGATTGGATCCAAGGAAAGGGAAGGTAATGCCAATTTCTTGGATGAAATGCATCTCCTGTGAAGTGACACCAAAGATCCAGTTATTCTACGAAAATACACTTAGCAAAAGCTTTTATAAATACTGTTAATTTACCAACACCATGAAAAGAAGTTTCTTGCATACTGTTAATTAACTCACACCAAGAGAAGCTTTCATGTATGAATAATACTTATTAACCTACACCAATATACAGCTAATTTAAATTTTTGTAAATGATCATTTAGACATTTGAAAGACAAAAATCCATTTTTTCTCCAAGTAATGTTCATGCACATTAATTACTGGCACATATAACGTCTTCTGCTCACACTGTCCACTGCAAATTTTTCCTCCCATATGGCTCTTTGTGTTTCGATCAGTTTGATTTTTGTGAGAAAACTTAGAAATTGAACTGATTTGATTTCTAACTAGCATGAAGTCTCAGGTGTTTTACTAAATTAGATTTATCCAGAAATGCCTTGAGGCATTCTGAACACTTATATGGTTTCTCTCCAGTATGAATTCTCATGTGTTTTACTAAACTAGATTTCTGTGAAAACCCTTTCATACACTCTGAACATTGATATCGTTTCTCTCTAGTATGAATTTTCATGTGTTGGAGTAAATTAGATTTCTGTGAAAACTCTCTTATACACTCCGAACATTGATATGGTTTCTCTCCAGTGTGAATTCTTGTGTGTTTTACTAAACAAGATTTTCGTGAAAATCCTTTTAGACACTCTGAACACTGATATGGTTTCTCTCCAGTATGAATTCTCATGTGTTCTACTAAGGTAGATTTATCTAAAAACTCTTTTGTACACTCTGAACATTGATATCGTTTCTCTCTAGTATGAATCCTCATGTGTTGGAGTAAATTAGATTTTTGTGAAAACTCTTTTATACACTCCAAACATTGATATGGTTTCTCTCCAGTGTGAACTCTTGTGTGTTTTACTAAACAAGATTTTCGTGAAAACCCTTTTAGACACTCTGAACATTGATAAGGTTTTTCTCCAGTATGAATTCTCATGTGTTCTACTAAAGTAGATCTATCTGCAAACACTTTTATACACTCTGAACAGTGATATGGTTTCTCCCCAGTATGAATTCTCATGTGCTGTACTAAATGAGATTTTTGTGAAAATCCTTTTAGACACTCTAAACAGTGATATGGTTTCTCTCCAGTATGAATCCTCATATGTTCTACTAAAATATATTTTCTGGCAAACTTTTTTAGACACACAGAACACTGAAACTGTTTCTCACTCGTATGAATTTTCATATGTCTCATTAAATACTTTTTTTTAGAAAACTCTTTCAAACACACTAAACAGTGAACTGTTTTTTTGCTTTTATTAACTGTTATAAGTGATGCATGCTGAGATTTTTGTGAGGAATGTGAATACTGACATAGTTTGAGTTCTGCATGAACTGTTCTGTGTGTTGCTTGAAGACATTCTTTTTCAAGTATATCAGACATAGTGAACAATAGCTTGACCCTTTTACTATCAGAATCCTCAAAATTAAAAGTGCTTGCAGTGTCAGGATTTTTTCAAGGAAAAATAAATTTCTTCAGAAATTGTAGAGAAACTTTTTGTTATAGGCCTGGTCACAGACCGGGCCGCGGGGGCGTTGACCCCCGAAACTCTCTCCAGGTAAACTCCAGGTATAGTAATGACCCCCAAAAACACAAAATTTAATGCAAACTTGTGGAATTACGGAGGCACGAAGTTGGCAATCTGAGCACAATTTGCACATCAGCAATTTCACTCACTCTGAGGCCTAATATACACAAAAATCATTTGCTTATTCTGAACAAATTCTAAGCTTTTTCACACTGGCTAAAGTACATAAAAGATGCTAGTTTGATTAATTTTACACAAAATTCAACAAATTCTAATTTGAAAACAATACAAAATAAACACAGCATGCATTTCTGTAGGATGTTAAGGTGATGTTTAACAGCAGGATGTTAAGGTGATGTTTAACAGTAGGATGTTAAGGTAATGTTTAACAGCAGGATGTTAAGGTGATGTTTAACAGCAGGATGTTAAGGTGATGTTTAACAGTAGGATGTTAAGGTAATGTTTAACAGCAGGATGTTAAGGTGATGTTTAACAGCAGGATGTTAAGGTGATGTTTAACAGTAGGATGTTAAGGTGATGTTTAACAGCAGGATGTTAAGGTGATGTGTAACAGTAGGAAGTTAAGGTGATGTGAAACAATAGGATGTTAAGGTGATGTGTATCAGTAGGATGTTAAGGTGATGTGTAACAGTAGGATATTAAGGTGATGTGTAACAGTGGGATATTAAGGTGATGTGTAACAGCAGGATGTAAAGGTGATGTTTAACAGCAGGATGTAAAGGTGATGTTTAACAGCAGGATGTTAAGGTGATGTTTAACAGCAGGATGTTAAGGTGATGTTTAACAGTAGGATGCTAAGGTGATGTTTAACAGCAGGATGCTAAGGTGATGTTTAACAGTAGGATGTTAATGTGATGTTTAAAAGGTTTAAAAGTAGGATGTTAAGGTGATGTTTAATAATAGGATGTTAAGGTGATGCATAACAGTAGGATGTTAAGGTGATGTTTAATAGTTCGATGTTAAGGTGATGTTTAACAGTAGGATGTTAAGATGATGTGTAACAGTAGGATATTAAGGTGATGTGTAACAGTAGGATGTTAAGTAGATGTTTAATAGTAGGATGTTAGGTGATGTTTAACAGTAGGATGTTAAAGTGATGTTTAACAGTAGGATGTTAAGGTGATGTTTAACAGTAGGATGTTAAGGTGATGTGTAACAGAATGTTAAGTTGATTTGTAACAGTAGGATGCTAAGTTGATGAGAAACAATTGGATGTTACGATGTTACACAGCAAATTCATAACACTGATGACATTGTAAATGTTATATTTCTAATGCTATGGTAACACAGTGTTGTCACTATATATTTCTAACACCATAGTAACAGTGTTGTCACTATACATTTGTAATACTGTAGTAACACAGTCACTATATATTTTAACACTGTAGTAACACAGTGTTGTCACTATATTTCTAACACTGTAGTAACATTGTGTTGCCACTAATATACATTTCAGTATTGGACACTTAAAGGAGCTTTATGATAATGAAAATTGACACTACAAGAATAATTTCTCTGCTACCAGGATGTCCTGAATTATTGGCACTACAAGTGCCAGTTTCTGCTACCAGGATGTCCTGAAGTATTGGCACTACAAGTACCAGTCTCAGCTACTACGATGACCTGCATAAAAGAAACAATTGGTCATTATAATATTTTGTTAAACTTTTTCTTCAAGAACTTAAACTATGTTGATAAATTAGACACATGTGCAACTCTTGGGTATCTTTATTGAGGAAACGTTTCGCCACACGGTGGCTTCATCAGTCCATACAAAGGAGAATCTTGAAGAACAGGAGGAGAATGAGGTAATCAGTCCCTCAACCTTGAGTCGATGTGGTCAGTCCATCGACTCAAGGTTGAGGGACTGATTACCTCATTCTCCTCCTGTTCTTCAAGATTCTCCTTTGTATGGACTGATGAAGCCACCGTGTGGTGAAACGTTTCCTCAATAACGATACCCAAGAGTTGCACATGTGTCTAATTTATCAACATGCCGGTTCTCTGAACCATTCATCTACAAACTTAAACTATGTTACCAACATCCATGTAGGTACAGTATGGCCCCACTTAAATGGCAGGTTAGGTTCCAGGCTATCCCTAGAAATCAGACATCGCCGGAAAGCAGAATGCCATTTTTTCACTTATAAATGCAAACAAATGCCAAGTAACAAGTTTACACTAATATATATTAAGCTAACAGTAGAACTAGGAAATAGAAAATAATAAAAAGAAAAATACATACACAGTACATTTACTACTTATCTTAAAATATTTGTAGTCTTAATGTAGGAAGTCAGGTGTAGTTAGCCAGGAAGCTTCCCTGGCTCCCAAATGTTATATTATTTGTTTTTTATTAACACATCGGCCAATTCCCACCAAGGCAGGGTGGCCCGAAAAAGAAAAACTCCCACCATCATTCACTCCATCACTGTCTTGCCAGAGAGGTGCTTTACACTACAGCTATAAAACTGCAACATTAACCCTTTGACTCTTTTCGACGTATAAATACGTCTTACGAGCCAATGTTTCTGACGTATATATACTCAATAATTCTAGCGGCTTCAAATCAAGCGGGAGAAAGCTGGTAGGCCCACATGTGAGAGAATGGGTCTGTGTGGTCAGTGTGCACCACATAAAAAAAATCCTGCAGCACACATTGCGTAATGAGAAAAAAAACTGATCGCTTTTTTTGGAATAAAACACCGACTTTGAGGTGTATTTTCGTATAGTATTTATCGTTGTATTCGTGTTTTCATGCTCTTAGGTGATAAAATGGAAAACATATTACAGAAATAGAGATGATTTTCATTACTTTGACGATGAAAACGACCTTGAAACTGAGCTCAAAGTAGCGGAAATGTTCGATTTTTACCAATGTTCAGGAGTAAATAAATCACACCACACGTCCAATACACGTCAACTGGGGAGTCTAATATTCTTTCACTAGTGCACTGATATTATTTATACCATTTTTACAATAATGCAGTAGTCTGCATAACAGTAAATTTTGTATTTTTTTATATGAATAAAAAATAAAAATAGAAAGCAATAATAATATAAGAGGGGCCTAGAGATGTGACTAATGAACAGAGCATATGTTATTTTAGTGCCACGAATGTCTACCTTGTTTATTCTGGACCCTATTTTGAAATTGGCATCTTTTTTAGTTTATGTGAAATTGGCCAAATTGCCAATTTCTGACCACCATATTGGGTAGTCCAAATTAGTATATGGGAGGTTTCTTGTACTCAGATGATAGATAAAATGGAGTTCTAAAGAAATAGCTATGAGTTTGGTCAACTGGAACAATGGAATTGGCTGAAAATAGGGCTCAAATTCGGCGAAATCGCCGATACGCATATTTCGCCGAGACAGCTAACTTCGCGGGAGCATAATTCCATGAGTTTTCGACCATATTTCGAACTTTTGGTGTCATTACCCTCGGGAAAAGATTCTCTATCATTTCATAAGAAAAAATAATTTTTTTTTTTCAAAAATTGAGCGACATAGAATGACAGTTTCAGAGAGGGGCCTGAAACAGTCAAAGGGTTAACACCCCTCCTTCAGACTGCAGACACTGCACCTCCCACCTCCAGGACTCAAATCCATACTGCCGGTTTCCCTGAATCCCTTCATAAATGTTACTTTGCTCACACTCCAACAGCATGTCAAGTATTAAAAACCATTTGTCTCCATTCACTCCTATCAAATACGCTCATGCACGCTTGCTGGAAGTCCAAGCCCCCTCGCACACAAAATCTCCTTTACCTCATCCCTCCAACCCTTCCCAGGCTGATCCCTACCCCACCTTCCCTACACTACAGATTTATACACTCTCAAAGTCATTATGTTTTGTTCCATTCTCTCTACATGTCCGAACCACCTCAACAACCCCTCCTCAGCCCTCTGAATAATAGTTTTGGTAATCCAACACCTCCTAATTTCCAAACTACGAATTCTCATCATTATATTCACACCGCACATTGCCCTCAGACATGACATCTCCACTGCCTCCAGCCTTCTCCTCGTTGCAACATTCATCACCCATGCTTCACACCCATACAAGAGTGTTGGTACAACTATACTCTCATACATTCCCCTTTTTGCTTCCACGGACAAAGTTCTTTGTCTCCACAGACTCCTAAGTGCACCACTCACCCTTTTCCCATCATCAATTCTGCGATTCACCTCATCCTTCATAGACCCACCTGCTGACACATCCACTCCTAAATATCTGAATACATTCACCTCCTCCATACTCTCTCCCTCCAATCTGATGTTCAGTCTTTCATCACCTAATCTTTTTATCCTCATAACTTTACTCTTTCCTATATTCACTTTTAATTTTCTTCTTTTACATACCCTACCAAATTCATCCACCAACCTCTGCAACTTCTCTTCAGAATCTCATAAAAACACTGTGTCATCAGCAAAGAGCAACTGTGACAACTCCCACTTTGTGTTTGATTCTTTATCTTTTAACTCCACACCACTTGCCAAGACCCTAGCATTCACTTCTTTTACAACCCCATCTATAAATATATTGAACAACCACAGTGACATCACACATCCTTGTCTAAGGCCTACTTTTACTGGGAAATAATCTCCCTCTCTCCTACATACTCTAACCTGAGCCTCACTATCTTTGTAAAAACTCTTCACTGCTTTCAGTAACCTACCTCCTATACCATACACCTGCAAAATCTGCCATATTGCCCCCCTATCCACCCTGTCACATGCCTTTTCTAAATCCATAAATGCCACAAAAACCTCTTTACCCTTATCTAAATACTGTTCACCTATATGTTTCACTGTAAACACCTGGTCTACACACCCCCTACCTTTCCTAAAGCCCCCTTGTTCGTCTGCTATCCTACTCTCTGTCGTACTCTTAATTCTTTCAACAGTAACTCTACCATACACTACCAGGTATACTCAACAGACTTATTCCCCTATAAATTTTACACTCTCTTTTATCCCCTTTGCCTTTATACAAAGGAACTATGCATGCTCTCTGCCAATCCCTACGTACCTTACCCTCTTCCATTCATTCATTAAATAATAGCACCAACCACTCCAAAACTATATCCCCTCCAGCTTTTAACATTTCTATCTTTATCCCATCAATCCCAGCTGCCTTACCCCCTTTCATTCTACCCACTACCTCACAAACCTCCCCCACACTCACAACTGGCTCTTCCTCGCACCTACAAGATGTTATTCCTCGTTGCCCTATACACGAAATCACAGCCTCCCTATCTTCATCAACATTTAACAATTCCTCAATGTTTAAAGCAGTCCAGAGTGATAAAATACACATACAGCACACCATTACTTACCTAAAAATACACATCGGCTGTCTCCAACCAAGGCAGGGTGGCTGAAAAAGAAAACCTTTCATCATTCATTCTCTTACTGTCTTGCCAGAGGTGCACTTTCACCCCTCCTTCATAATGCAGGCACTGTACTTCCCAGCTCCAGGACTCAAGTCCGGCTTGCCAGTTTCCATGAATCCCTTCTTTATTGTTAGAATGACTTCAAGAGTGTTAAATCTGTAGTGGAGGGAAGGCATGGTAGGGGTCAGACTAGGAAAGGTTGGAGGGAGGGGGTAAAGGAGGTTTTGTGCGCGAGGGGCTTGGAATTCAACCAAGCATGCATGAGCATATTAGATAGGAGCGAATGGAGACAAATAGTTTTCAGGACTTGACATGCTGTTGGAGTGTGAGCAAGGTAACCTTAAAATATGTGTAGTTTTAATGTAGGGTTAGAGGCAAGTAGTATTTATTTCTAGGAAGTGAGGTGTAGGTAGCCAGTAGGTATAGGTAGCCAGTAGGTGTAGGTAGCCAGAAAGCTTACCTGGCTCCCAAACGTAATACAGTGGACCCTCGTCTTTCGTAAGCATCGGAATTCATAATTTTTGCAAATCGTAACTTTTTCATCAAAATATTGACTCGCCAATAGTCGTTTGACTTGCCAATCAATGGTCATCTGGACAGGAGAATGTGCCTTTCAGTGATTCTAGGATATGTATGATACTAAAGCAGCACAAGTCGACAAAGGCTATAGCACCAGCCAGCAATAAAGTGTAGCATTAACAATGTAGCAAGTAACTTAAGCGATTAAGTGATAGAAAAATGACGACACAAAACTTCCATTGCTGTTTGAGGTATATAGGGTACTGACAACATACGCTGGCCTCTGCCAGCTCCTCCAAGGTAAGTGTAAATATTTCTTATTTATAAAGTGTAAATATTTCTTATTTATAAAGTGTAAATATTTCTTATTTATAAAGTGTAAATATTTCTTATTTATAAATTAAAGTGTAAATACACCTACCATCCAACTTATGACCTGCTCGACACACGTCCACTCGACTTATGACCGTGCATCTGGCAGCTGGGCTGGGCCGGCTGATGCACGCCACTGTACAATATTTGACAATACTCGCGGCGGCAATGAGCCATGCAGGCAGCATCAGTTTGAGTTACCCTGCCCTATCAGCAGCAGCATACTGTATTAACTGTACTAACTGAACAGTAAATTTCACCATGGTCCCTAAGATGAAGTCTGAATTTTGGGCTGGAGATTGTGGCAAGAAGGCAAGAAAGGCTCTAACTCTT